GGGTGGGCATAACCCCCTCCCCTCCTCCAGCCCCTCCCAGCTCATTCTGCTCATTTGCATGAAGGGAGGCATTGGCCCACTGTGGCGAGTGTCCCGGGGGCTCTCTGACCCATCGGAGGCTTTGTCTGCCCGCCTGCCCTCCTGTCCGTCTGCCCATCTAGTGTGCCATCACCCTGCGAATCATTTTGGCCTCAGGTTCTAGAATTCCTGACAACCGGAGGAGACATCTTCTGGAAGATTCTAGTCATTTCCGTGGCCAACCATGGGCCTCTGGAGAGAGGGGCCGCGTGCCCAGGCCCGCAAGGCCAGCCAGGGCGAGCGTCCCAGCATGGCTCGTGTGACGCAGCCCGGGTCACGTTCAGGGTTCACGTTCAGGGCTCACGTTCAGCATGGTTCGACCATGGCTTTGAAATTCCGTGCACAGAGCCATCAGCACTGACCGGGGAGCAGCAAGCACCCCAGGCAGCTTCCTTATTTAAGAAGCGGGTCTTGGAGAGCAAATAGCTGTTAAAATATTTGCTTGCAGCTCTGAGTGCTAAATGTCACCCCACTGTCCGCACTGCAAATAGTTTAGACCTGAAGATCAATAGTGGCTGCCTCTCGGAATTCGGGGCCAGCCGCGGGGGCACAAGCCGGCGTCTGACTGGGTCGGCGGCTCCCGGCCCAGCCCGCGCAGCCCTGGGGTGCGTACGTGCGTGCGTGTGTGCATGCATACGTGTGTGCGTGCGCATGTGTGCATACGTGTGTGAGAAAGTGCTCACGGAGCCGTGTCCTCTCCAGCAGGGCCCGGGCTTTGACCTCGTGCCCAGGATCCTAAAACCAGCTCCCTCCCACCCTGGCCCGGGACGAGCCTGTGAAAGGTTTGTAGGACACGCAGGCCTGTGGGGCTGGAGGCTGGCTTCCGGTCGGGAACAGTGTTGCTCCAGGCTCAGCACATGGGAAACCGTATGGACCTCGCTAGAGCAGGTGTTCTGTTGGGGGCGCCCCAACTCCATCCAGGGGACGGCGCAGGACAGGGGCTTGTGAATTTCAAGTTATTATTGTTATTTTTTAATCCTCACCTGAGAATATTTTTTCCATTGAGAGTGGAAAGGAGGTGGGGTCGGGGGAGAGAGAAGGAGGGAGAGAGAAACATCGATGTGAGAGAGACACATCGATCGGTTGCCTGGCGCACGCACCTGATCAGGACCAGAGACTGAATCTGCAACCGAGGTACGTGCCCCTGACGGGGAATCAAACCTGTGACCCTCCGTGCAAGGGCCCACGATCTAACCACTCAGCGGCAGGCCAGGGCGGGGCTTGTGTATTTTAGAGCGACATTCGCCCTCCCTCCCCGTAGGCGGGCGGGACACACCTGGCAGAGGTCATGCTCTGCCCTCCAGGAGGTGGGCCTGTCACTCGCTCAAGGTCGCAGAGCCCTTGCTGGGCCCTGGGGGCCGGGACGAGGACCTTACACGCCCCTTGACACGCAGCTGGTTTTCCAGGAGTCGCTGCTGTAGGAGAGCTGTCGCAGGTGCTTGAGTCGGACACAGACCGGCCCCCCCACCCCCGTGGCCTTGCTTAAGCTTTGTCCCCTCTCAGAGCCGCGGCCTCCTCCCCTGTGAAAGGAGGGCGCGGTGGCGCTCACTGCCCGGGGCTGCTCTGCTGGCTGTGCTGGGGAGGGGCCTGGTGGCAGCGAGGGTTCGGTGGCGCTGCTGCCCTCGGTGGAGCCCCTGGGCGAAAGCATGGGGTGTGCGCGTCACCGGGAAACAGCCAGGTCGTGAGCTGTCGGGGTGGAGTGTGAGGCCGGCATTTCAGGTGCCAATTCCGTCTGCTCCCCATCCAGGCACGTAGCTCTGTCCTTCCCTGGGGTCGGGGGCAGGGGCCTTCATGCTGCCGCCCCAGGCAGGCTGCCTGGCTTTAAATGGAGCTTCTTTCTGGATTGCCGGGGGTAAGGTGCCCTGTTTTGGGGAGCTCTTCCCAACCCTAGGGCCTCCATGGGAAGAAAGGAGCTCCTTGCCTGGCCGGCGTGGCTCAGTGGTTGAACGTCGAGCTCTGAACCAGGAGGTCACGGTTCGATTCCCCATCAGGGCACAGGCCCGGGTTGCAGGCTCCATCCCCAGCGTGGGGCGTGCAGGAGGCGGCTGGTCCATGATTCTCTCTCATCATTGATGTTTCTCTCTCCCCCTTCCTCAAAAGTCAATAAAAATATATTTCAAAAAAACACCAAAATAAAAACAAACAAACAGATTTGCCTTCTTGGATGACGTTGTGGGGTGGTGACCTCTGAACGGCCCAGAGCTGAGGCTGAGCTGCCTCCTCCCCAGTCCACAGGCACAGACGGCAGGGAGCCGGCGTGCGGCAGTGTCTGTGGCTCCAGTTGTGGGTGAGATGCGCTGTGACGGAAAGTGCTGCCAAGGAAATACGGCCAAAAAAAAAAAAAAAAAAAAAAAAAAGAAAGAAAAAGGATAGCAGGGGATCATTTAAACTCGTCTATTAACTCGGTGTTAAGTAAAGCGGCACACGCGTGTGCCGGAGGAACGTGGTGTCTGGAGAGTTGGTGCCGGAGATGCCGCCGGGATTGCGCCTCTCTCTCCCTCCCTCCCTCCCCTCCCCATCAGAGCATTTTTAAAAAAGTATACATATTTTTTTATTGATTTCAGGGAGAGAGAGAGAAGAATCAATGATGAGACAGAATCATTGATGGACTTCCTCCCGCACGCCCCCTACTGGGGATCAAGACCCGCAACCTGGGCATGTGCCCTTGACCGGAATCGAACCCGGGACCCTTCAGTCCGCAGGCCGATGCTCTATCCACGGAGCCAACCGGCCAGGGCCAGGACCTTTTTTTCCTGGGGGAAGCGGCGGTAGAGGTCTTGGAGAGCCGCGCTGGCCGCTGCCCCCGTGGTTTTGGGGTGACTTACGATAGGGGAGGTTCCCACTGATGGCTCTCACTTCTTCACTTTCTCTTTCTTGCTGTCGCCCGAGCAGCAGCTCTGATTTCCGGAGATAAATAGGCCGCCTGGCTGTCACTGGGGCTTCTTTCTGGATTGCCGGGGGTTGGCGTGCTCTGATGAAAACAAAAAAAAAGGACCTAAACATTGTACTTGCCTTAATTGGTAAGAAGAGAGCTGTTTGATGGGCCACCGATGGACAGGTTGCTGCTCCGCGCGGCGCGTTGGGCCACGTGCCCCGCCACGGAAGGCGGAGGCCGGCTCTCGGACCAGCTGACGTGTGTTTGCGGGTGCGTGGTGTCATGTGCTTGGCAGTGCGTGCGCGTGTGCATGTGTGTGTGCAGCCAGGAGCAATAGAGCCCTCACCCCATTAGCTGTTTCTAAATGGGTGCGTTTATAGGACTGTGGCTTTCACCTCGAATTGAGTGCACGCTTATCTTCATTCCTCTTTCTGGTTTTGGGGACCAGCCCTCGGGGGCCTCACAGTCGCGTGCTGAAGCCTTTCGCTGTCGCCGCAGGGTTGGGGTGACCCGCGCACGCACGCACGCACGCTCCTTTGCACAGGCAGACGTGTGAGCATGAGCGTCTTCGCACACAGCAGCGACCTCTCCCTTCCAGGGAAATCAGCGCTGGTTTCTGGACGGGGAGCTCCGACTTCCGGGACAGAACAGACTGTGGGGAGAGACCGCGCCACCCAACGCTGGCTTTGTAGTCGGAGTCTCTGTTTTCATGGGCAGGTTTAACCCGCTGGCGTTTATGGGGGTGATGATCTGTCCTGTGTGTCACGCTTGCTTGTTTTGCACTTGGATGTACACGTTCTCCCTGTGTCCTATTCGTCTCTCTGCTGGGGGCCACGTGACGCTCCCTGCAGGGATGTGCGCTGGAGGGAGGCAGGGTGTCAGGGTATTGTCTGCAGGGTGTGGGCGAGGTTGCACCCCCTGGCGGGCTGCCAGGCACCTTACCTGTGAAATGGGAACAGCAAATGCGGGCAGGGGGCAAGGTGTGTGAGCCTGAGAGATGGGTCTGCAGGCATGTGACTGCCTTTGGAAACGTGCAGAACGCGGCCAGTGTAAGGCATCATTGTCCCGTGAGCTCCCTGTATTGTTGTGGTTGTTAATCCTCACCCGAGCCTATTTTTCCCCCGTTGGTCTTTTTTTTACAGAGTGGAAGGAAGGAGGAACGAGAGGGAGGGAGAACGAGAGAAACATTGACGTGAGAGAGACATATCAATTAGCTGCCTCCCTTGACGGGGAATCGAACCTGCAACCCTTTGGTGCATGGGCGGACGCCCTAACCACTGACCAACACTGGCCTGGGCTTAACGCACTTTCCTGTGCAGATTTGGTGCTTGTGTGCACAGTGCTAAGCGGAGAGTAGGCATTTCACTTGAAAGAAAAGGGCCCGACGTTTCAAAGGCTGGCTCTCCCTGTCCACGCGGACACCGGGGCACGAGTGAAGGCGCAGGTGTGTCTGACACTCGCGAGCTGCCTCTCCGCGGCCCCGCCAGCAGGTGTGCCTCCTGTTCCCCGAGTCAGGACATCTGTGCTGAGAGCCCACCAGGGTCAGCGAGTCCCAGGCTTGGTGTGTGTGTGTGTGTGTGGGTGGGG